TGTTTATCTAAAATTCTGTTTTTTTATTTTTATTCTTTTCTTTTCTTTTCTTAAAGTCTTAAATGTAATAAAATTGTTTCATTACGTGAACATATATTTCAACATCAATTAAAAAAATCATCATTAACAAGTGGTTTTCTTATTGATAGTATTGATTCATCTATAATAAATTCACATTATTCATCTCCATCACCAAGTGTACATTATTGTTATTTATGTCGTACAAATTTTGATACAGCTATTAAAATGCATATACATCTTATTGAACATCAATATCCAAATCATGATTATCAATGTAGTCTTTGTGAACAAACAACATTTGATGATGCATCACAACTTTATCATCATATGGTACAACATGGTTCAAAAGCACGATTACATCCATGTCGACAATGTGATGTATATTTTATGTTTTCAATGCATCTTATTAATCATCAATATAGTCATACAGATGAGACATTATTAACAAAATCGAATGGTACATTAATAGGTTCAAAATTATCGATAAAATCGAAATTTATGACAAATGAAGATCATAAACAATCGAATGATGATGATGATAATATATCATGTAAATCTATTATGACAAGATCATCTACAAAAGGAACATGTCGCTCAGTAGTTGTCAGTTAACAAAATATTAATACAAAACTTTTTTTTTTTCGTTTTTTTCTGTTTTTGTCATTAATTATTATTATTATTATTATTATATTTTTACTTATGTCAGATATTTGTTTTTTCGAAAACAGCCGCTCTTAATCTTCACATCTTTCATTTTCTCTTTGCTTTTGTTTCTCATCTAGTCTATACTTTTGATTTCATGTATTTTTTTTCTTTTTAAACATAACAAAAGAGAAAACATATGCATATATGTATATATATATATACATATACAGAGAGAGAAATTATATAAAAGTGAGTGTTCTTCACACTGTAACGTATTTGTAGTTATATTGTTGTTCGTTTTTTTCTTTTTTGTTTTTTTGTTTTTGGAAAAAAACCTTGCAATGACAATTATAATTTATATGTTTATTTATATGATATTGATACAGTAGTCATTTGATGTCATATTGATGTAAACATTTCATATGAAACACTCGATGATATTCAGTTTTGTCTTTGTTTATGTATCTGTCTATCAATGACAAAATGCTTACGAATCATAGTTTTGATGAATAATTTCATGCATAGTCAACTGAAAAAACTACAAGGTTCTCAGAAGATTTTTTTCGTTTGTAGAGTTCGTTGCGTGGATCATTCTAGTAGAAAAAATCTTCAAATTTACTCAATAAATCATGGTGTTCGGAATAAAATACTCAAAAATTTTGGCTATTTCTGACTACTACTGAGTGGTAGTACACAGCGAGATCTACAGGCAAAAAAAACCTTCTAAGAACAATGTGTCTTTTGCGGTTGACTACTCATGGAAGTATCTGTCAAAAATACGACTCGCAAGCATTTTGTCATTGATAGTGTATTCGCATAAAGACAAGAATAAGAAAAGAAAAACAAACAGTCCATTAATACAATTGACAGGTCATGCATACTTCTTGACTTTCTTTTGACAATAATCTCTAAATGTATTCGTAAGTGATTTCATTCGAATAAAAAACTACTGCTTGATTATTGAATATAATATACAATCTTGAAGGTACAGATCTTAGTGTAAGAAAGGATAGGGTGAGTTAGGCTCTTCCACTTTTTATGTTCTCTCCGCAAAAATTTCAAAGTGTTACTTGAAAGCTGCCTGCCAAATTTTTAGCTCCTTCCACTCCTAAAAACTATCGAGAGCCCTACTTGAAGACGACATTACGATGTTTATAAGTAACGACAGTAATGTGAACAAATGTGTAATATGGAATTCTTAAATCATATTGAATTTGATTATTCTTAAAAAGACTATCATATTTAATTAAATTTTTTTCATTTTCGTTATACAACTATTTCTTTTTTCAAATAAACAATGCCTACTGTAACCAATAAAACTAAGCAGTAAGTCATCTATAGATCATCAATTGTACTTCAATCGACATGAAGTATGTAAATGTAATATTCATAGTCAATAGGCAGAGACTTATGTGTCTCATCGAATTAAAATAAAAGTCAATGAAGATCAACTACAAACGATAAACATGAAATTTACATTGAATAGAATATATTATTCGATCGAACTAAAATAATTCAGATGATTTTTCGTGTAGGTGATGATTAGAATTTTGTTGATTTGTACTTGTAAATGTAACATTCTTGTTTTTTTTTTTTTGTTTATTCTTCATACTATCATCGTTTGACATCATATTTATACAGTCGATATAATTCTTCTCATTCAGGCGACTGTACAATTGTCAGCCTTCAAAAAAAAAAGAACGAAAGATTGATTTCATGTACTAATGTGTAATTACAGTCGAACTTTATCTCTGTGTTTTTATCATTATTAGTTTTCTTTGAAATCTTGGATAATAATTTAGTGTCTTTTAGTAATAGATTTCAGATGAAGATTTTTGTCTTGGTACTTATATTTTTCATTATGAATAAGATAGTTAAATAACAATCGCTTTTTCAAATTATACTTGTAAGAAAATACAATAACATAAATTGAAAAAATATCTATTTTATTTTTAGAAATCTTAGTATAATCTTCATTCAATGGTTTTTATTTATTCGAAAAGAAGCTTAAAGATTCTTGTTGAAGTACTTTGATATTTCCGATGATTGGGACTCGTACTTCACTATATGCTTAATTATGGGATATGACAATTCAGATAGGAATAGGTTTTTTCTCTCTACAAGCTATTACTAAAAAGCAATAAACTATTATCTGTGAATTTAATTGAAAGTAATAATAGTAAAGAGACAATCACCATAACAATTATCATCTTCAATTACATATAAGTACATGAAATAAAAATTCTTATTCCTTTAGTAGAGTAGATTAAATGCTAAAGCGCATATTGGTCGTACAATTATTAGTTCAAACTATGATAGTATGAACAAAAAAAGTAGAAAAATATTAGGTCTATAGTTTACTTTAGCTATGAGAATATATCAAATTATTAGAAATGATCTATCATTGAATCTCACGAGTGCAACATACTTGAAATGTAATCGAATAAAAACGTATTTTAGCATTTTATACAATTCAAATATTATTTATAAATGCTAATATTATATTAAATATTCTTTACAACTAACATTTTTTTTTCTCTAATAACCATATGAAATAATGATTACTCCAATGAGACTATCATATAGCCTAATAATCTCTCATGATGCTGAATAATATAAATAAACAACAACCATTTATACTATGTTATATTAAAATAACTATACGATTCGATATCTTATGATGCAATGACTTAATGATCTGATGCTTGAAAAGAAAATGTCAAAATTTATGTAGTTGCATTATCAATAGATTGATAATTGTTCAATGTTTGTAGATTATTATGAGGAAATGAATTGTTTTTTTTTTGTCTATTATTAGGTTTTATTCATCATATTCACATTATTATTCATTAACATTTTCATAAAAACTAATAATTATTTATTGCATATCATATTCTCCTTTAATAAAATGATTTTGATCATTATTACAAATATAATTATCAAGAATATTAATATAGAAATTCAAATTGTTTGATAAAATCAAATCTATAATAAATTTTATTGATCTGTGTTTACAATAAATTTTTATATTTTGACGTGTGATATGTAACAAACAACATGATTGTTCGGTAATAAAAAATCATTTTGTTGAAATTTTTTGCTTATTTGCATTTGACATTGATTTAGTTTTGCTTATGAGAGAAACCTCCTAATTGATATATTGCTTTTTGAGTCGAGACTATATGCATTATATATATCTAATTGACCTATGAATAACCTGAAAAGAGTTCGTGCCTTTAATTTATTGCTGTCACATGAGAAAATTGATTTTTGAGTTTTAACTTGAAATTTTGCATAGAGACCGGTCTTAATGAGAGTAACTTATTGTCAATGTTTTTTAAGTCTTTTGACATACTCTTCTATCCAGGAAATATGAGCATAAAAAATTTGTCGATTTATATGAGCAATGTAAAAGACACGATGTTACCATAGTTGTATCTTAGGATAGGAACAGCAATGAGATTTGAAACATTAATCCTTTGGTCCCAGGGTTTTTTTTTCTGAACACAACGAGAAAATCGATTATGTAGTGTTAGAAAATAGTGAATGCACTATGTATGAATATCTTCGACACTTTCAAAATACTGATAATTTCCTGCATCAACAAAGGAAAGCTATTCTACGCACCATTACCATTCACTTTTAATTTATTTAATATATAAATCTTTCCCTGATTTGATAAAATACTCGAAGTGGTATATATACCATGCCCGACACCCAAGGGTTAATATCGTTGACGCTTGTCTCGATGCAAAGTTTCGAATCGGAACTCGAAAATTATTGTTTCTGGTGTTCCTGAGAGAGAACACGGCATTCAATTAAAAAATACCATAAACATGTAGTATTTCCGCAGCAATAAGCTAATGGCATGAACACATTTCAGGGTATTCATAACTCGTTTGGGTCTACACAATGCACATAGTCATCACTCGAAAGCAATTTATCAGCTTGAGAATTTCCCTCGTTAATACAACGTCATTATCTTTTACTCTGTTTTTTTAATTAAATATCATGTGAGAAAATTATCAGACAATCAAATAACCTTTTTATCTTGTATTTGTTGCTCTTTTCTTATCCTATCGATCATAGAAAATTGCTTCAATTAGAAGTCAAAATCTTGTATTAAATCGAAAAAACATACATTGAATTGTCGTTTATGTTAGATAATCTTAAAAAATAGAATATATACTTTATTAAATCAACTTCTATGTCATTCATCTGTTTTCTAGGGTCATAATTTATATGTCGTCTTTTTTTTTTGTTGTTTCTATGATTAGCACCATCGGTATACAGTCTAGTACAAATTTAAAATAAAAAAAAAGAAGTATGAGTTCTCACAAATCACTTTTTACAGATGATGATGATGATGATGACGAAAAAGAAAAAAAATATTTATGCACATCCAATAATAGGACAAGAAATAGAAGTACAAATATTATTAATAGAAGATACCGAATTTGTTTAAGTTCTCTTGCAGTTTCTGCTATAGTTGTTTTTTGTAATGTAATCGAATCTTTTAACTAAAATTAAAAACAAAAACAAATTATCGAATAGTTTAATTTCAAAAACAAAACAAGAAAATATTTATTTACTATATTTTGCATTGCAACAATTGACGGATCAGACGAAATAGATGAATGTAAAGAATGTATTTCATTTGATTGATTTATAGATGTGACAGATGTTGGTTTATTACTTAGTGAACATCTCAATCTAAATAAAAAAGTTATCGTTATCAATTTTTATGATATATAAAAAACTAATAATACCTATGTTCATAAAGCACCGAATTCGGTACAGTTTTCCAAAATTCAATTAATTGTGCTTGTTTTAATTCATGACCAATTAATGTCCATATAATTAAAAATTTTTCCTTATTAATATTATTTGTTGGTGTACAATACGCTTTACAAAAAAGAAAACGTCAGAAGTTCAATAAATTTTATTAATAAATAAAAAAGAAAAAACTAACCTTTTAATAAATAAACAGAAACAGTAGTTTTTGCACCTGGATGTAAAAGACTACAACCGGGTTTAACACGAAATTTATCAGGTGATGTTGTTTTAATTTTAAATGTTAAAATTTTATCACCCATATTTGTTAATTGTAATGTTTGAACACAATCACTTGTTCCTTGTGATAAAGGATCTATTCGTTCAAAGATCATTTCATCATATGGTCTAAGAGAAAACAATTTTTTTGTTTTTGAAAAAAACAAAATATTTTTTGTAAATATATGCAAACCTTATTCCAAGTCCATGATAAACTTTTTCTTCACCCATACATCCATTTACTAAATTTGGTTTTTGTAGAATGGACTAGAATAATTAAATTATAAAATAATGCATCTTTCATTATGAAAAATTTACTTTTCGAGACACTATGTGACATGAATCAGACGTAGATGTGGAATGATTAGATTCTTCTGGTGTTAGTAGTTCATCATGAGATGGTGAATCAATCTTTGGTATATTGTCAGTTGTTATTATTGATTCTGTTGGTGATGATGAAAGGGGTATATCAAGTGAATTACTATCAGCAAAAGTAACCTAAGAATAGAATCAAAGCTAATACAAGAAACAAAAAAATTTTAATAAAAAAATAAAAATTACTTTTTTCTTTAAACTTGCATTCATTGAATCTTCAACAGCTTCGTTTATTGGATCATGAAGATGAACATAATTTGTTGTATCCTAAAATCAAAAATAAAAATAAAAATTTATTATCATTAAATAATTAATAAATTTAAAAATGTATCTTTTCATCTTATTGTTTATTATCTACTAAATAAACGCTATATATATATATAGATATATAATCAATCTATCGTTTTTTTTCGCTTATTCAAATGAAGTCATCGTTCAAATATTTATGATCTAAATACATACAAACGAGAAAAGAAGAAAAGTAAAATAGATAAATAGAAAGATAAATTCTTTTTTTTTTTTTATCGATTTGATCGAATGTCTCTCATTCTCTATTCACATACATCATTCAGATTGAGAGCTTTGTGCGACATGGTTAGATAGATAAAACACTAGAGAACATCGTAATAACTTATTAAATAATCTGAAAAACTTTTGTCGTCGTAGTCGTTGTTGTTGTTATTATTATTATTATTGGCATAGTCGACATTTCTCTTTTTATTCTCATTTTCTTCATCGTCTTCGATGCTGCTGTTGATGTCATTACTGGTAGACTTGTCGTTGTGTCGTTCATACTCACCCTCGAGAGAGTAGCAAGCTTCACCCGACTTCTTTCTTTTTGTCTATGCGTTCGATTCTGATGAAAGCTGCAGGACGAGAAAGATAAAAAAAAACGATGACGCATATAGTGAGACCGGATAAAAATAGAAGGAAAAAAAAAGGAAATAACGGTAACAGTAGGATGGAACACAAGAATGAAATAACTACATTGTTTTCCTATCATCTGTCTATCTACCAATGTTCGTAATGCATATATAGAAACGCTTATGTTTGTATATACATATATACATACATAACAATAGTGAACGTTTTGTTATTTTTTTGTTTTTCTTTCTCGTGTTATTTCGAAAGAAACGGAAAACGGAAATGAAGACAATAAAATTGTCTAAAAAGTCAGCGGAAAAACATATATCTACTTATCTGACTATGGCAAAGTGCAGTGCATCCATTAGATAAACAAAAAAGCACTGAGCTTCTTCGATTTTTTTTGTCCTTGTTTTTTTTCTTTATATATCATACTCAATCTTCAACTGGATCAACTCGGTTCACTTACATTGCCGCCCATTGCTATTGACAATTGATCGGGTTGCACATACTGTGTGATCGATTTAGCATCGACGAATTTAATAAATTGTTCTGCTTCAGCGGGCAACCACGAACGAATTAGTCTCCATACAGCTAAGAATAGAAAAAATAAATAGACGCAATCATTTTTTTTTCTCTCTCTCTCTCTCTCTCTTGTTTTTTTTTTCTTTCTCCAAACATACGGACATTTACCTTGCAAAATAAATGGCATTTTATAAATCATCATATAAGCTAAAATCAATGACATTATAGAAAACGAACTCGATGCATGTTTGATAAGATACCTAATAATCCTGGGTAACCAATTTGCACAGAACTAATAATAAATTTGACTAAATCCAAATCCTAATAAAAAATAAGCTAGATCGATTGAATAAAATTCTAAGAAAACGAACTAGATTTCTGAGACCAGTTTCACTTAAATCAAAAAGAATAACAATTTTTTCACCTGGATGACGTCGAATATGTCTTTCAAAAGTATATGTTATAAAACGTTTCACAGCTTCATTATCTTCTTGACCTTTCTTAAATGTTCGAACATCAAAATGAACTATAGAGAATAGAAAATTGAAATCTAATAAGACAAAAAAAAAAGAAAAGATTTCCGATTTACGTAGTGGATAATTGCTCATGTCACGATTTTTAAAATAGATTCCATTGCGATCGAAATAATCGGCCGGAAATTCATTTGTTGAGACGTCTATTAGAAAGAAAGAAAGAAAATATATATATATATATATATATTTACGAAATTATGAAGAAAAATATTAGTTCTATTTTAATTTCAATTGTACCATAAACATTATGACTTTTTCTCCAACTCATTGATATATTAAAAATTTGAAGTGCTCGATCTGCATCGAAATCTGGACCAAATTGTCCATGTTGAACATACATTAATGTATATTCATCGACTTCATTGAAACGTTGAATATCATGTAGATCATATAGTTCATTCTCGTTAATTTCTTCTAATAAAAAGTAAATATATTAAGTTATGTTTTTGTATACAATGAATTGAATCGTACTTTCAAAATGTTTATTGACTAGTTCACGAAATCTATCAACCTTTGAATAATAAAATAAGGTTATTTAATTAAAATAATATTTGATAAAATTATACTGAAATTAGTGTTGCAAATGTTGGAATCGATGATGCCATGTGACAAAGTGGTATAACACAAAAAAAGAATAAGATGTGATACACTGAAACGAGATAACAGATACAGAAACAAACCAATATAAATCAAACATGAAAACAATAATATACGATGATAGATATATTTATAGTTGCTTTATAATTCATCTCAATTACTAAATTTTTTTTTATAGTATCTGAAAAAATAATAAATAATAATTTTTGTTTCATTTTTTTATTAATTTCAATAATTACAGGCAATTCATGTTTCATATATACTTATATTGAATTTCCATATCTTTATTAATGTTTCATTTAGATCACAAAGAATGAATACATTTAGTATTTCCGGAAAGCTTTCTAATCACAGAAAATTTTCTATAATTAACTGAAAAACTTTAAATATTGATTTTCTTCAAGGAAAAAAAAAATTTTTTTTTTATATAGAATATTTATCGAACTCAATGACCTAAGCTTTTTATTATAATGACGCAGAAAGTCAAAGTAATTTCTATTCAAACAAAAATAAATAAATGATTAATATTTATATAATAAATAAGGAAAACATAGGAAAAACAAACAAACAATTTTTAGATAAAAAATGAAAAAGAAAACCATAACGTTTTTATTTTTATGCATATGTATTCACACCATTTCTATAAAAAGGTAAGATTCGAAGTAAGGATAATGCCATCTATGTTTATATAAGTTTGAATAATTTGTGATCATTAAACATTTAAATGTAGAATTTTCTTCTCATTAATATTACTAACGAACATATATAAGAAAATAAATATTTGCATAACAAACAAAAAAAACATACACTTACATTCAACTTTAGTTTTTTTTTTCTTATATTCAACATGTTACGTGATGTTATTCTAATTTCATATATTCTAAAAAAAACATAACATAGATTAGTTCTTTTAATAGAAATTTTCAATATTTCTTTCAAAATTTATAAAAGATATTCTCCAATGATAATCAAAACACTAGACATCACTTCAAAAACTAATAACATATTATCTTTAGTATTTAGAATAATCATTAGAGTTAATAACTCAATATTCTAAGTTTTTTTTTTCTAGTATATAGATTTCTATACTCATGAGAATGTAAAGACTAATCATTCGTATGGAAAATTTTAATGATTCTAGTAGTCTATATATGATTACAGTGATAAAGCGTTGAAGAAAATTTAACATGTCTATTATTCTATATATAAGTATACTATCTGTAAATCTATTATGATAAAAAACATTTTAAATATCTTCTCGTTTCGTTCGAATATATATTTAGAAAAATAAATTATTTAAATATCAAAGAGAGAAAATAGATGAAAACTAATGCATGTTTAGGTAAACGAACATCATTAATTTCTTTTTTTATTTTTTGGAATATTATGTGTGATTCGATAATTGAATCAGTTTCTTTCACTCACATCAGTACACATCATCATCGGCAATTAATTCAGATTGAATGAACAGTGCGATTGATAAATTTAATAGTTCGATTGAGCTTCAATTAATAGCTGTAAATGAATGATTTTCTACACTACTGAAACAAAAGGATCTGTACATAAATATATATTTCTCATAGCTAAAACAAAGACTTTCTCATTAAAATCTATGGCTGTTTATATACAAGTATAGAAATCAAATGAATTAATAATAGAAAACAAAATAACTTATGAACTAATGCTGAATAATAAATTTAGTACGAGCGTTTATCCTTTATTGATAAACAACAATCGAATAAACAAGAAGTATATTTAAAGTATTGGACTCTTTTTATTTATTTATTCAATATACACCTCTGAACAAAAGTCTTCTTCCCTTCATCCTTTTGTTCGTATAGAAACCCTTGAGCCTCAAGTGAATGTTGGTTACATGAATGATGTAAATACTGTATTCTCGTATAGTGTATGATTGATTACGACTTATTTCAATGAAGAATGTACGTCATTCTATACAATCGGTCAATACGACAAATTAGTTGGTCGATAAAATCCTTCATGGCTAGGTTATCTCTTTTTGTGGTATTTTCTGAATGTTTTACTAGTTTTATTTTATCTGTATTTGTATAATCTGATATGCCGTATTCTCGGAAGAGCTTCGCGTCAGTGACGAAAAGAATTTAATGATCTAAATCAGTAAAACAGTAAGCAGATACGAAAAAAAAAGAGATAACCTGGTCGTGAAACATTCTGTCAACCAACTTATCTGTAGTGTTGCTCAATTCTATTGAAAGACATTTTTCATTGAAGTAAATTATCATCAATCATACACTATACTACAATAAAGTACTCAAGCCATTCTTGTTACTAAAATTCACTTGAAATTAAAGAGATTCTATATGCAAAAAATGATAGGGGGAAGGAAAAGGAACTTTTATCTAGAGGTGTAATTCGATATTGATCATGTTATATACACCTTAAAGCATATAGATCATTGTCATCAAAGTGTCGACTATCATATTTATTACTTAATTTAATAAATTAAGAATCGAAAAACTCGATAATTATTCCAAAAACATCTATCATACTTGTAAAAAATTAATTTTCAATAATTTTCATTCTAAAGAAAAAAATCTTTCAAAATTTTTTTTAAAATATACTATTGTTAAAGTTTGAAAGATTGTTATTGATAATATCATTGAACAAAAAGAAATGAACTATACTAAAATAAAATCTCAAAATTCAAACTTTAAAACAAAATTTACCGTATTATGTACAAATATCAACTACTTTTCAATGTTCGAAAATACTATAAAGGACATTTAATTGTGTCACGTACAAAACTCTATTTTAATACATAACAATCGATATATATTCAATTCTTATGTTGTACGAAGGACGCGTAGTCATCAAGTATGAATCATGAGAACACTGTAGAGTACGAAAAGTATAGTGTTACTGTATGCGCACAAACAAATATAAATATAGGTAAGCAAAGAATATGATAATTTGTTTTATATACACATTTAAAAATATATTACTAATATTCACCTGAATCATTGTAATAATATTATGAAAATAAATAGAATATATACATCTGACTTTTGTCCAGTATATGTTTAATATTAATATTTAAAAAAAATTTTTTCCTGTCTAACAAATGATGAAATAGTTAAACTATATGATAAAAAAATTTCTCACATAGATTTCAAAATATTTCTATTGATTAATTACCTTTAATCTTTTTTAATCATATCTGTTAAATTTCTCTAGCAAAAAGAAAAAGAAAAAAATTAGAATTATTTTCAAAAAGAATTACATGATTTACTTTTTTATATAATTAAGATTCATCACTTGCAGTACCACCCATTGCTTTTGATAATTGATCAAGTGAATATATACTGCGTAATAGTTTTTTCATCAACAAATATAACAACATTTTGTACGTCAGTTGGTAACCATGTTTTAATTAATTTTTAAACTACTGAAAAAGAAAAAAGAAAATTAACATATAAAATATCTTATCCCACGTATAAAAATAGATTTTTTTTACCTTGTAAAATATATGGAAGTTTATAGACCAACATATGAACTAAAAAAACTATAAATCATCATTCATTAAAACAAACAAATAAACATACAAAGTAATCCTGGATAATAATACGTCAAACAATTGATAGCAAATCTAATAAGATCATAATCCTTAATAGAAAAAAAGCTTAAATAAACAAAAAAAAAAAGTAAATCATATATATATATATATATATATAAAACTAACCAAATGTTTGAGACCTGTTTCACTCAGATCAAATAGTATAACAATTTTTTGACCAGAATGAGTTTGTATGAATCACATAATGTACTATACAATAGAAAAAAAATTAAGATATTAAAGAAAAATAAAAACATATTAGAATTAAACTTACATATTCAATAATTAATAATATCATGATTTTTATAAAATATTGCATTTCAATCAAAATAATATAATGGAAATTGATCAATTGATACATCTAAAATAATGATCAATTCATTTTTACAAATAAACATTAATCTTCTCTCAAATAAAAACAAAATTTACCATAGACATTATGTTGTTTTCGCTATGTCATTGTTTCATGAAAATGACGAAAAGCTTTTGGTTCATCAAATGTTTTATCATGCTGTCTATGTTATATAAACATAAATGTATATTCATTGATTTCATTGAAACGTTTGATATCACATACATCATATTCTTCACCATTACTAATTTGTTCTGAAGAGAATCAGATAAAAAAAATAGAAAACAACACGAAATAATAAATAATTACTTGAAAAATGTTCATTAATCGCTTTTCGAAATGCTTCAACCTTTGCGCAAAAAAAAACCGAGAGCACTAAAAAAAAGAAACAAAATAATATTTTTAAAATTTACTGTAATTTATGTTTAAAATGTTGGAATTGCTATAACCATATATTGTCACTAGAAGAAACGAGTATACGTGTGAAAAGCAAATAAAAATTGATAGTGGAAAGATGGTTAAAATAATAACAAAAGATAAGAAAGAAATATCTTGACAAATTTTTTTGTTTTGTCAATGCTTATGTAAAAATTCCAAACGAATCTTGTCATTTGACCTAATTCAAATTGAATATTTCAACTGATGACTTTGGACTATGTTTTTTTTGGTGTATCAGCAACATTTAATTAATAATTAATATCAAAGAGAAAAAGTCATGCATTTATAGCATAGTTTAAAATACTTATATTATCAGAAGTGCAATAGAACGGTGTAAAAATAAACAATAAATAAGAAATGCTATGTTAAATTTTTATGTATTAGATCAAAATAAATTTCTCATAAAATATTTCGCATATACACGGATTGCAACATTCGTTAGAATGTTAGCGACAAGGTTGTTTAAACAAGGACGTTCCTTACGTCATTTGTCAGGACATTCCAATGTATGCATACATCCTTTTAAACACTTCATATTATTATAGACTTTCGAACAAAATTTCTCTTCTTAAGTCTAACAGACTTTTACTAATATATATTACGTATATTTGAATATGAGTTTTCAAATATTATAACATTGTTTACTTTGACATCACCTATATTTAATCATGATAAACACGTGATGAATGAATTTTTAAATAGTATCACAAGTCGTTTTTATCAATACATTAGAGTTATGCAAAAACTTGGATATTTTCATACATACATAGTATTTAGTTCGTAGGTCAATTTGTTTGATTAATATGTTTTGAATATTGTTGACTGGATTTTATCACTTAATATAAGTCAATAGATAACTAAGTCGAACAATATTCTTTATAATGCTTTTTATTGATATTCGAGTAATCTGTAATAGAGAAAACAATGTTTTCTTTTTTCCATACATTCAAGATTCTATCAGTCGAAAATTTATAAAAAAAAAATTGTAGTTCATCGATTTGTCATTCTATAAAAAAACCCATCAAATCTTCAATTTAGTCTTATATCAAAAAAAGATAGTTTGTTTTTCCTTAAATTCTCATTTCATAGTTTTTTTTTAAATAAGAAGCGCGTATAATGCTACACAAGTGTCTATCTAACAGCTAAATACACCCGACAAAAAAAAATATCATTAAATAACAGAGAAAATGCGAACAAAGAATCAATGAATATATTTTTATATATATACAAAGTGTTCATGGAAATCAATTTAAGATTCCTAATAATCTTTATATCTGACTGGAAAAAAAAAGAATGTTTGATTTCTTTTTGTCGTTGTATTCTTTTGGTTCAAACATAACCATAACGATCATGATAGTCACAATGAGCATCACGAATTATTTTTCGCTCGCTCTCCGATAATTTTGCTTGTCGAGGTACAACAACAACTGTTGCTGTTTCATGTGCCTTATCATCCATTTCCTTGTCATCTTTATCATCACCATTTGCACGTGATGCTTCAATAACACGTTGAGCTGGCCACATTTTTGTACTAAATTATAATAAATAAATAAAAATAATTTCAAATTTATCTTTCATAGAATAAAAAAACAAAACAAAAAAGAAAAATCAGATTTTAACTTACACTTGATCAGGTCCAATAGCTTGACCAGGTCTTAATGAATTAATTTCTTTTGATATATGTTCAGCATGAATACTTTCAATACCCATTAAACGAGCAAGATGTTTTATTTGTTCAACTGGTTCATTATGTATACTTTCATAACGAAAATCTCCTTTAGCAATTGAACGCCAATATTCATATGCATTCATATATGCTGTAAGTCTTGATAGTATAACTCCAATATCATGTTTCATCCAACCTAAATTATTAGTAGAACTTCTTATTTCTTTCTTTTTTTTTTGTTTTGATCTATTTTTCAAAAATTAAACTTTTTACCAATAGTTAAACAATCATCAATAACATCACGTAAATCTCGATGAGAAACAAATACTATATAACCATGTCCAGACTGATCAAGATTTTCTGCCCAATTAGAATCAGGTATGCGCATTGTACGTACAACTAATGGACGACCACATGCTTCTATTAAACGTGTTTCAATATCATTTTTTGTTATATGATTTAAACGATAACTATCTGCTGGACCAAATGGAGAATCTTGATGTATAAGAAGTAAACGAACAGCATTAAATAACCATGAAGCTCCTTTAAATAAAAAATAAATAAAAAAATAACAATTTTAACAAAAGAAAAAAGAATTAATTATAAATAGTACCAGATCGTTCTGGTCCAGCAATAATATAAACCTATATGAACGTATCAAAATGAAAAATGAAATTTATGATTGATTTATTTACTTACTGCACCAAAACGATTTGATTTCTTTGTACTTAATTTTAATCGAAGTGATTCACGATATTTTTCAACTAGAAAATCAATATGAATAAACTTAGAATTAGAATATTAAATGATAAACTTACTTGCTTGTTTTTCTTCCTCTGTTTGATGACGATAATTACATAGTGCATGACAATATTTTCCTTGAATATAATCAGGACAATCAAATAATTTTGGAAATATTTCTTCCATTTATTTCTTTAAATATAATCAATCAATATTAGCTTTGCACAATTGTATCTATAAGAAGGCAAATGAAATGAGAGACTTTTCATTATTAATCTAAATTGAATTAAAACTGATTGGTTAGCTTGTGGCTTCTTACAATACTTTTCATAGATGTCGGGTATGAATTCTAACACTTGATGAGAAATTCTCTATTTCATTATATACACGAATTGTGAAAAAAAACATTACAAACATATCAAACATTATGTGCATCAAATGCTTTGAGATTTGTGTGAGAAGATTTATCTTCCAATATTATTTACAATAAAAAAATTCATTTCCTTTTTTAGCTCATGTTATCTAAAATGTCGATCTAATTATGATAGTGAAAAAAAAACAAACGATTGCTTGACCAGAAATTAGATTACGAAAAAATGTCTCTAATATATTTGAAACAATATGATTTATGATAGAATCAAACTTTTACATGTTTATCTCATATCATAGAAATCGATGAACGAAGAAAATCAATAAAACGCTGAAACTCTGCTTCACAAAAACGAAAGCTCGTCAAGATTGGAGAGTCATCTCCTCCGATCCTAACCCGCTTGGGACATTCCTGAGTCTGCACTTCATTGCAATGATGATCATCGGAATTATGATCGAAGCTATTGGCGATAGTCTGAGAACATACCTACAGTATCTTCTCCATATGGTAAAGATTCAATTAAGTAAAAGAAAATAATGATTGCCGAAAAGAAATATTACTGATATAGGTCATCAAAAGAAATTCGACGCTTTCACTCTCCTGCAATCTCGTTTTTGGCAATAGAATACACAACCGGATTTAAACAATTAACTACAGTTTATTTTTTTTCTTAAGAAAATTTTCAATTTTTTTTCTCGTCTAAGAAAGAAAATCATTTCAAAAAAAATTAGCAGCCATCAATATATTCCTGATACAGCTGTATACATGTATAAACTTATATTCACTACAAGAATTTCCGTGAGAAACACACGAATGAACTACATACATTAGAATAGAACAAGGCAACAAACAAACAAACAAACGAACGGAGAAAAAGTAACTCAACGAGTTAAAAGAAAAACACATTGACGTACTATCTGTAAAAACAACTTGGTTTAGAGCATAAACTGCTGTTACCAAAACAAAACAAAACAAACTTAGAGAAAAAATTGTTTTTTAAGCAAAACAGATAGAAGAAAAAAAATCACTTTTTTTTTGATAATGCATACTGTTTTATGAGTGCAAACAAATACTCGAAAAACAAAAAAAAAAAAGACAAAACAAGTTTTTATGTTCGAAGCGACGATTGGAAATGACGTCGATTAAGAGGCATTGTTGACTTTTTGTCTAAAACACTATTTGTTAATTCAGCTTTTTTAGCTCTTTCAGCAAAATTTTCATTTGTTTCTCGTAAATATTCTCGAAGATCTTGTGAAGATTTCGCCAATGATCGAGACTATTATTAAAAGAAAACAATTAATTTTAAATAAAACTTAAGAAAAAAAATAGGTAAACAATCAAAATTCATACTAAATGAGTTGTCTCTTTTTTATCTTTCACAAAATGTTTTGTACGTCGATCTTTGTTCTTTATTTTATATTGTAATTCTGCACGGTGTTTTTGTAAGTCTTGTAATTGCCTATTAAAATAATTAATAAAAATTGAAAAAAAGAAATAGAAAATAATTTCTTAACATACATTTCATAATTTTTTGCTTGTAATGTTTCATAAAGTTGTCGTGTATGATGAAGTTTATTAATTTTACGACGAATTTCATTTTCTCGACGTTCATCAGCTTTTGAATGATCCTATATAGATAAAAATCAATATTTTGAGAAGATTTCAAATTTTATGATTTATATACAGTAGTTCCTAAAAGTATTCATCCCGATTTTTCTTTTTCAATTTTTTCTACTATCGTAACCACTAATACAAGTCCAAATAGTGATTTGTATTCTTATTAGCAGTTATGATAGTGGAAAAATATTATAAATAAGCCCATAGGCGGTGCGCCATAGTAGCGAGGGGAAGCAATTGCTTCCTCTAACAAATCTTTCGGCTAGCAATAAAAATTTATTGCTTCTCCTAACTACTTCCATTTTATAGATAATCTAAGCGTAACTTTACTACTTATACGGGTTTAAGCGACATACTAGCAAAATAATATGCACAATTGTTTCTTCTAGGAAAATTTGAAGAAGCAATAAGTTATTGCTTCGCCAAAAAATTGACGTTGTTCCGCTCATAGCTCTTGATAAAAACGTAACACTAATCTCAAACTCTTAAAGCCTATTCCTTCAAAAATCAATTTCAAGGTCACGTATATGCAATTCTTCGGAAATTTTCAAAGTGCATTGGGTCCAAGTTGAAGATGGTGTGGCAAAATTTTCAGCTCTATACCATGACGTTTTGATAGAGATATGGACCAAATGAGAGTAAAAAAGGGTCACTTCACAACCCATTTTTTTCTGTCTGGACTCTTTCCACACATTACGAGTTTTTTTTTTGAAAGAGGATGTCAAAATGTAGAACACCGCGGAGTTCTTCTTTTGTGAATTCTTACTTTTTAAGGGGAGAAAATGGATCATAAGCTGAATAATTCAGAAAAATCTGGTAAAAAGGGACGTCCATTTGTAAAAGTGTTCGCATGTATACTAATACAAAACAAAGTTTAATTTAAAAAAGTGCTTTGTAATGCCCTGCATTTTGACGTGCTCTTTCAAACAAAAAAAAAATTAAACATATTTAATGAGCTTGGACAAAGAAATTTGAGTTACGCATTTGAAAAACTATAATATAAGAATAAACAAAAGACGTTTTCCGTTTTTTTCTGAAAAGCCTATTTTTTAAGAAGTGATTGATAACAGTTATCAAAAATTTTGCCTAAAAAAGGGAGTGTCAATTTAGAAACCGTGTTGTATTCGAAGGAGCAAAACGTGGACTATCTTTCCCTGCATTTATCCTAGTTTTCATTTTTTTCAGAAAAATTGACCACTGAGTTGAAGACCTTACTATGCTGTCAAATAAATTAATACACAAGTTTTTGATAATATATTTTTGAGAAATTAATTTCAAAAAGAAGTTTCACTGCTGAACTTTGAACTACAGTTCGAAAGTGGATATAGTTTTATTCTAAAGTTTGTTGCTTCCCCTAAAAAATTAAGTTTGCGCGCCGCCTTTGTAATAAGCCTGAGTAAATAATTTTGGTAACCAAAATAACTACTCACTAGGAAATCATGTAATAATGTTTCATAACGTTCGATTTCTTTTTCTTTTTTTGTTCGAAGTGCATTTTCTCTTGCTTTTTGAATTTTTAATTCATGATCATAACTAGAAAAGAAATTTATAAAAAAAAAAGTCATTAAAGAAGAACTTTTTTGTCTTCATATACAATCAGATTTTACATACTGTCCAAGTAAAACTTCATATTGTTTCTTTTCGAATGTTGCAATATCTGGATCATTTCCTGATGTTGAATGTGTTACACGTCGTTCTATCATTTGTTTCACATTTTCAAGACCATTTCTAAATACAATCGATGTTTTGATATTGAATTTAACGAAAAGAAAATTATTTCTTACACATATCGTTCATTTTTGTTTTGTTTTGAACCATGATCAGATATACTCATACGTTGAAGATTCTTATTCTGAAATAAACTTTTAGATTTTTTCGAAACATTTCTGTATAAATAATTAACTAACCAATCGTCGAGCATCGTCGATGACATGAGCTGATGATGCTCGTTGTTCATATTGATCATCACGATTATCAGCTTCATAATATGATGATGTCGGTGGCCATTGAGAAATAGACGATTTAAGAATGGAATTTGCTATTGGTATCCGAGTCGCAGATGTTGATCTTGATGGAAGACGAGCATATGTATCATATTCAGAAAATTTGACAGCTGTTGCTGATTGAGAACGTGTTGGGACACTGTTGATTGTAGTTGGTTGGTCAAGGCCATATAGAAGAGAATTAGATGGATTGAATTTTGTTTCTACGTAAGTTCTATATATAAAATTTTACATATGAAATTAAATTTTTTTAATATATTACCGTCGAGGTATTGAACTGCTACGGACAATAGATGGTTCTTATAAAAAAAAATCATAGACTTATCTTCTTCGAAAATAAAATAACTCTTACGAGGATCAATCATTTTTGTTGATGATGGATTAGCAAGAGTTTCTTCTCGAATAATTTTTTCACGTTCTTCTCGACAACGTTGTAGATTTGCTAGAATAAATATTCATGTCTAATCTTCAATTTTTATATAATAACCTTTATTTTTTAACAACCTAATCGATCTACTTCCATTTGATCTCGAACATCAGCTAATGTTGAAAGTCGTACTTTTTCTGAGCCAATATCATCTTGTATATCAGCCAATCGTTTTGGAAGTAATATAACAGGCTATATAGATAGAAAATTCATATTTCATAATATAGATTTTTCTTTTTGTATACTTTTATATTAAGACGAGCACAAGCTTCAAGTGAACGAGGACTTGTTAATACATATTTTGAATCAATAAAATCCATATGTTCAAAATTATACAAATCAATTTTTAATTGACCTCGTATTGGTATTGAACTACTAATTGGTCGTGTACGTTCATTACGACGATTAGTTGATGAGAAAATTGGTGCACCAGTTGTTGGACGTGATAAATTTAAACAACCGGACGTATCAAAAAATCGAGCAGCATCACTACTACTCATCTCTTAGTTACTTTAGTTTTGAATTGTCTTTTTTCTTTTCACAAGCAATAGTCACCATAACATTGTTCGTTGACTAGGCAATGCCTCTATGATCAATATTTTCTTTTACATTGAGGAGGAGGATTTTCAGTGCTACAAAAAAAGAAAAAAATTGATAAGAAAAATTTTAATTGAAGATCTAATTTTTTTTCGATAAATAGACATCTGAAGTGAGTAGTGAAAGGTTAGCACTCTCTCACTCTATATAGTTGTCTCACATAGAAAGATAGACTAAATAATGTTCTTTTGTTCTTTGTTTTTTCTTCTACACTCATAAGTCACGAAAAAATTAATATTTTTCATGGTTTGTTGTTTCTTCGAACAAAAAGAAATAATCGAATCTTCTAGTTTGTATTTGTTTTTTATAAAGTTACAAAACAAATCAATGTACCTATTTCTCGATAACGATTATGCAATAATATATTGTATATGAATCATCGATAAATACAAGATCAGGGTCAACAGGTCCTATTCTATATTAGCAGAACACAAAAATAAGTCGCACTATAATCAATAGATTCATAAATGTTCTAGAAATAAATCCTATATTTACATCGAGACAACTGCTAGCTATTCAGCATAAACGACATCAAATGGCTGAAAAAGTATGGGAGTTTGTTAAAGCGAAAGGTAGTGGAGCAGTGTCAAGTGTTTATGGACATATTACATCAATGACTGATACAACAGGGACACTTGCTAAACAAAAACTTTTACAAACATTAATTTCATCTGGTGTTGTACAAAGTGAACATATTCGTCATGCACTTCAAATGGGTATGTAAATTTCATCTATCTAAGAGATGTTAATAGTTTAAATAAATGATACAGAGATAAAATAATCTAAGTATATTTATTTAATTCATCAATTTCTATTTGTTTTTCTTTCAACTGCTTTTTTTCCATAATAGGCATTGGTTATTTTCTTGAAAATCAATTTGAAAGAACATCTGAATATATTCAACGAGAAAAATTTCCAGCTGCTGGTAATAATGGAACACCACCACATTCTTTACCAGATTTTGATATTGAAGCATATGGACTTGATATATTTAATTCTTTAATGATTATATATGGTATTGATTCCCAAACATTAAAATTCCATATATGTAATGGTGAATTTAAAGAAATAGCTAATCCATCAAATTCAGGTTCACTTCTTTATTTAACATCGGATTCAACATTTCTTATAAAAACTGTACGTGATTATGATGCAAAATTTATTGAACAAAAATTTTTAAAAGAATATTATAGTTACGTTAAAAATACTCCAGCAACATTTATTTCTAAATTATTTGGTTGTTTTGGTTATATACCATATTTATCAAAAGAAAAAAGTATAACAGTTGATTCATTTACATTACGTTTTGCTATATTTTCAAATTTTATTCCAACAAATATTGAAATACATGAAAAATATGATTTAAAAGGTTCATCATATAAACGTGATGCAAGTACTACAGAAAAACTTAAACCATCAGCAACATTTAAAGATAATGATTTTCGTGAAATACATCCCGAAGGTTTAAAATTACCAAAAAGTGTTTATCATCATTTAAAAGAAGTTCTTACACGTGATGTAGAGTTTTTAGAAAAACTTAATATTATGGATTATTCATTACTTTTAAGTAATATATACATATATGAATTCTTTTCTTTACTTTTTTTTAAAAATTATTTATTCTTAATTAAATAGCTGTTCATAATATGGATAATCAAATAAAACCAACTCGTGTTGGTTCACTTGAATCATTTCTGGGTACTGCTCGTGATACATTTCTTATCGGTATGACACAACAAATTGATCAAAATGATAAGAAAACTAAACATGAAAAACCAAAATTAGTATTAAAATTTAGAAAACCAATTGAAACATTAGGTTTAGGTTATAAAGAAATTTCAACATTTGATACAGAAAATGCCAAAGAATTTGGGTAAGTTTAAATGAATAAAACGTTTGTGTGAAAGTAGATTTTAAATAAGATATTTTAAAATAATGAAAATCTTTTTGAATTAGATAAACAATTTAGAAGTTAAGATAATATCAAATTGAACCGAAAGAGTTTCGATTGAGTTACCTAAGTAACGTTAAATCTTTTTAAAGATTAACTCAATCAATACTCTTTATAATGAGTTCTAGAAAATGAAATTTCACAATAGAAAAAATTTAGATTAACGTGCATTTTAATTCTAAACTTTTCCATTTAAGAATAAATCAATTCGAAATGAGAATCGCTCGATGATTGTGCGTGATGCAGAAAGGCCGAAAAGACAAATGTCAAAACCGAAAAGTATCCAAAAAAGTGATGCGTCTAGTAAACGTCGATATTAGACTTCTATAGTTTATTATTGTTTTATTCATTATTCTATTGGTTTGTATTTGTAACTAGTACTAATAATGATGAATAATATCTGAAAGAGATCAGCTAAAATAGTCGACGACTATACAACAACTAAAAAGAGAGATCCACAAGAAATTAAATTTATTTCGTTTTACTTTTTTTACAGATAGAAAAGTAAAACAAAATAAATTTAATTTCTCGTAGACCGACAACTAAAAGTCTATCATCATAGCCACACTTGATCATCTAAAACACCAGATGTAGGCCAGTCATCATCGCCAATTATTTTATTTATTAATTCACAAATAGGAAGATCTTTGCTCTTGTTAGATGATTATGTTTTCAAATTGAAACAATTACGAAATATTGAAAATATACTCTTAATCGATGTTCAGCAAAAGTTCATACAACTTTAAATGATCAATTGATTAAAATAATTAATGATCATAGTCTTCCTACAGATAAAGAAAAAATTGATGTATGTAAATTTCATGAAAAATTTTTTCTCTTGTGTCTAATCTCTTTTAGAATATTAGTATTATTTCATACAATAAAGAATGTTTCTTGATAGTTAGAATTTTCTTAAGTTTCATTTTGATGTCTCTATGATCAACCGATAATTTTCATCAATCGATCTATTTGAAGTTTTATACTACTATAACTGAAAGAAGCTACTTTTTATCTGTATATGGTTTAAATTTTTTTAAAATAAGTATTTACATTTACATAAAAAAATATTCTAGAGGTATTCCAGCAATAAATGAAAAAGGTGAACGTCTTCTTCTATTTTTCGGTATTATTGATATATTACAAACGTAAGTTAACTTTTGTTTTTTTTTTGTTCATTTTAATATTAATTTTATTTGATGAATATAGATTTGATACATGCAAGGTAATACAACGACAATATCAAACAGTTGAAAACCACGAAGTTGTTGATGATCGTTCAATCGTAGAAGCTGATTTTTATGCAGATAGATTTAAAAAATTTGTTTTTGAACGTGTTTTTCATCCAGCTGAAGATGAACTTTCAACACATCCTATTTCAATGAATGTTTTTTCTAGATCCACTTATTTATAAGAATTCGATAATGATTATAATTTTTCTTCCAATCTGTATTCTATTCTGAATTGTGCGTTCTTTAGTGGATATTTTCTAGTAACTTTATTTTAGATGAGCATAAGTCTAAACACTTAATGCTCGGTTTTTGTTATACTAACCTTGCATGTTAACTTTATATATATATATACGTTTGTTTTGTATTTATGATAATATCCATCTTCTATTCTTGAAATAAATGAGGAAGAAAAAGGCAAATATAAATACAACTAGATGGTATTCGAGTTTTACTCAACTGCAAAAAGCGTTGCGAAGCTTTCAATGTCCCCATGGAGTCAGAAAACCAAAAAAATCTCATGACTCTCGTGAATTTTATATCAAAAACACGAAAAAATGGCATTTCTAGGGGTGTCATTTTCCTGTTAATTTAAAATAAAAATAAATTATCGATAATTTATATTTATTTTAAATGTAAATTATATTATATTATTCTATTTCTTTTTTATCTTTCATCCCAGCCAGACGAACAGAGAAGAAAAGCAAGAGATAACTAATTTACATTTACAAAAATTTATTAAATCCAGAAATAAATTCTTAAACATTTAAATTTATTTTAAATTTGAATTGAATGTACATAAATTTAAATTTATTTTAATCCAATTTAAATCAATACAGATTCAATTTAAACTAATTTAATTTAAATTTAAATTTAATTAATTGGATTTAAATACCATGCAAATTAATACCAATGGATTTAATTCCCATATAAATTGCTTTAACCCTTCGTTACCGTTCTCATTTTTGAAATTTCGTTACTGTTGTACGGTCCACCTGGACCCACGCATAGAAAATGATAAAAAATCGATACTATTGTTTTATTCAAGCTATTCATTTATGTACTATAGACTTATAAATACTTTTCTGATAGAAACTGATATGCCAGTTTCCATGGTGGCAATATGAGAGTATACAATGTGGAAAATATATTGACTGAAACCATGTTTATAACAGCATCAGAAAATAATTCAATAGATAATAGATTCAATGACTTTAGTCTAGAACAGGAAAGAAACATGCTCATATATTGACATACACGGTTGTCTATAGATAAAAATGGGATATGTTGCCTTTTTATTTATCTTTATTTTCGTCTTCTTTTTTTTTCATGATTATAAAAACATATAAAATTGAAGTTTCTCTGTCACAATGATGGAGCTATTCTTATTTCAGCTCGGATGAGGATGTGAGATGTAGTTGAAGAGAAGACTCACACCGACACACCCATATCCACATTCAGCTTCAGCAAGCTCAAAAATATTATCTATAACACCATTATTGTTGTGGGGTCCAAGTGGATCTACCCCTGCGTTTTCTTCTTCTTAGAGCTATTCACAATTTCTACTAAGGGATATTACACAATAATAAGAGACTAGAGATTAGATAAAAGAAATGATCCGAAACAACAAATGCTAGTGTAGTACTAGATGAAAAACTGTATAGTGGGTCTACTCGGATCCCACAAGAGTAACGAAGGGTTAACCCTAAGTATATTGTACAACGTAGAATGATGAGTTTAATGCACGTTTAATTATATACACCAGAAGTCGGCCATTGGAAAACAAACTGGATTTTGTGTCAATTGAAAATCAATACATATTGTATTAGAAATTCATTAAATTCACAGTACACTGATGCACGAAAAGTCTTGGCTAAGTTTTCATTCATTTTCATTGATTTTTTTTATCTCGAATTTATTCTGATTCTCTATCACCAAGAGAAATAGAATGCAGATGTGAAGAAAAGTGTATACGGTTTTTTTTCTGTTATGTTGTTTTATGTTTTATTATATGGCTCATTACTTTTTTTGTTTTTTGATATTAAGAATAATACATGCATAGATGCAACTAAAGGAAAAAACAAACAAACAATGTCACTTATATTCACAACAGGGATCGAAAAAACAAAAACAACGATATTTATCAGCTCAATAAAAACGAAAATATTGTTTTTTTTTTGTATAATTATATTTCTTATTGCACACAATTCAATATTGTCTCCATTTTCAGGATAATTGTTTTGTACAACATAAAAAACACACACAGAGAGAGAGAGAGAGAGAGAGTGAGTGAGTGAGTGAGAAAACAACAGATAATATGCTCATAGTAAATCCCTTTTTGATATGAAGAGGAATGCAAATGAAAATGGCAGCAACATATTGAGATAAATATTAACTAAAATGATGATCGGATATTTGATGTCCATGATATTGAAGTGGTGTTGATGGAGATCGAACTAATGTTCGTTTACCTGGCATTTTTGTTAGAGATTTACATAACATTGCAAAATCTGGACGATCATCTGGTACGAAAGACCAACATTGATTAATAATGTCCTATGATAAAGAAAAATAAGAATTTTCTAAAAGAAGGAAAACTTCTTTATATTTATAGATAACGCGAATTTCTCTTCTTTGTAGCACAATTTCGTTTTTTTTGTGTGACTATTTACCTATTGTTTGTCAATGTTTTTGTTTTCAGTTATCTCACAACGTAACAATATTCATTGATTATCTGTAGTTTCATATTAACTTAATGAGTTCATATGAATAGAATCGATTATTTTTACAACTCATCATATGATATTTTATACAGGTATCCTCGAAAACTCAATTAAATATCAGCATAGAATATATTGCATGAACAT